TGGAGCTGCAGCAGCCATTTTGGACCATGAGGTGACCTTAGGAAATGGAATTACATAAAGCAAAATAGAAGCCTGGTTTCCTTGCACTGTGAAGTACTATATCAATCCTGCATTATCTACTTCTGGACTTTCACTTAAAAGAGAAATTAACAATCTCAACTAAGATACCGTTATTATTTTTGTCACTCAGTTAAAATAATTTCCATTTCACTGCAAGTCCTCATCACTACCTAATCAGAGTTACCAATATTTCTTGCCTGGAATTTTTTTTTTAATATTGCTATTAATTTTTGGAGAGAGAGGGGGAGGGAGAGGGAGAGAGAGCAGAACATTGATGTGGGAACAGAACCTTGATCAGCTGTCTCCTGCATGCCCCCTAGCAGGGACTGAGCTGCAACCCAGGCATATGCTCTGACTGGAATTGAACTGGCAACCTTTTGGTGCACGGAACAATGCCCAACCAAGTCACACCGGCTAGGGCTTGCCCTTAATTTTAAAATAACCTATGAATTGATATCCCCATATTTACTCATATCTATTCCAGCCTCCTACCAATGAGTTTTCTACACAAGAGCCTAAGCAGCGGTTCTCAACCTGTGGGTCGCGACCCCTTTGGCGGTCAAACCACCCTTTCACAGGGATCGCCTAAGACCATCCTGCATATCAGATATTTACATGACAATTCATAACAGTAGCAACATTACAGTTATGAAGTAGCAACGAAAATAATTTTATGGTTGGGTCACAACATGAGGAACTGTATTTACAGGGCCAGAAGGTTGAGAACCACTGGCTAAGGGATTGATTTAAAATGCAAACCGAATGTCATTCCCTGTATTAGTCTACCTAAGCTGCCATAATAGAATATCACAGACTGGGTGGCTAAAACAAAATAAATTTCTCACAGTTTTGGAGGATAGAAGTCCAAGATCAAGGTGCCAGCACGCTTCCTTGATTTGCACATAGCCGCCCTCTCACTGTGTCTTCACACGACCTGGTTTCCTTGCACTGGGAAGTACTGTATCAGTCCTGCATTCCCTACCTCTGCACTGCTCTGTATGCACATGCATAGAGAGCACTGTCTCTTCCTTTTTAATATTCTTTTATAACAGGCTTATTGGAGTAAGATCCCACCCATGTAGCTTCACTGAAAGGCCCCACTTCCTAATGCAGCCACATTGGGGTTTAGAGCATCAACATATGAATTTTGAGGGACACAATTCAGTCCATAACATTCCTGTTCTTCAATCATATCCATGGCTTCTCATTGCTCTTAAAGTTGAGCAGTTAAAATGGCAAGACTCCTGTATGATCTGGGCCCTGCTTCTCTCTCCATTTTCATATCATAGCATGCTCTTCCTCACTCTCCATGATTTAATCACACTGGCCTTCCATTTTCTCAGCTATACTATGATTTCTCCCACCTCGGGGCCTTTTCACATGCTTAGCTTCTGTCCGATATGCTCTTTCTCCCCTCATGTCCCTTTGCTTGGTAACCCTCTCTCCACCAGGACTCAGCTTAATAATCTGTTCTTCAGCCCTGGTTGGTTTGGCTCGGTGGATAGAGCATCCGACTATGGACTGAAGAGTCCTGGGTTTGATTCCAGTCAAAGGCACATACCTTGGGGGGTGGGGGGTGTAGATTGGGGAAAAAGAAGGCAAATGTAAAACTTCAGTCTGCAGGCCGACGCTCTATCCACTGAGCCAAACCGGTTAGGGCACAAATGTAAAACTTTAGACAAAAAAATAAATAAATAAAAGGCACATTCTTCGGCCCCTCCCCAGCCCGGGCCCTGGTCCAGGCGCCTGTGGGAGGCAACCAATTGTTGTTTCTCTCACATGGATATTTCTCTCTGTCTTTCCCTCTCTCTTCAACCCTCTCTAAAAATCAATGGAAAAATATCCTCGAGTGAGGATTAAAATAAACAAACAAACAAACAAATAATCTGTTCTTCAGGGAAGCCTTTCTTGGTCAACCATATATTTCCCCATTCTTTCATTATGAGCTTTCATAGCTCCTTGCACCTCTTTTTAATAGCACTTATTATAATTTGCCTTTATATTTTGTTCAAAATGCTTTGGCTAATGTTTGTCCTTTCTGTTAGATAATAATCTCCATGAGAACAGAGACATGTCATTTTTTGCTTATTTTTGAATTCCTAATGTCTTCTACAGTGTATGGAACATATATGACACTCAAGAAACAGTTTCTGGACCCTGTGATCCCACTTCTAGGAATATATCCCAAGAAACCAGAAACACCAGTCAGAAAGGATATATGCACCCCTATGTTCATAGCAGCACAATTCACCATAGCTAACTAAGATCTGGAAACAGCCTAAGTGCCCATCTGTAGATGAATGGATTAGAAAATGGTGGTACATCTACACGATGGAATACTATGCTGCTGTAAAAAAGAAGGAACTCTTCCCATTTGCAACAGCATGGATGGAACTGGAGAGCATTATGCTAAGTGAAATAAGCCAGTCAATGCAGGAAAAATATCACATGATCTCACTCATTTCTGGATAATAAAGACCATTATAAACTTATGAACAAAAATAGATACAGAGGCAGAGCTGCCTCGAACAGACTGTCAAAATACAGCAGCAAGGCCGGGGAGGGTGGGAGGGCAGGAGGGGGGTGGGTAAGAGATCAACCGAAGGACTTGTATGCATGCATATAAGCATAACCAATGGACATAAGACACTGGGGGGTAGGGGAGGCCAGGGGATTGTCAAGGGCGGGGAAAAAAAAAGGAGACATATGTAATACTCTTTGTAATACTTAAGCAAGAAAAAAAAGAAAAAAAAGAAAGTTTCTGAATAAGTAAGAGGTAAGTGGGAATTGGGTCATGTAGAGGTGAGTATGACAAATACGGAACTTGGGACTTAATTCTCAAGCATATATAGCATGGCAATCAAGGATTTCCGGTGGTGGAATGAAATAAGATCTGTCTTGAAAAGAATCTATGTTGGAAGTAAAGTGATAGGTTTCAATGGTTGTAGCAGGCCCCGAAATGGGAAATGGGGCTGGAGTTAAATTTGTGTTAGTTCCTGCTCTTTTTGTAAATTCTTCAGTGTAAATCAGGTTAGTTCTCAGCTTTCCCCACTGCTGGTTTGGGATTTGGCTTCCATGGCCTGGCTAGTGAATTATCCTTGTTCATCTGTTTTCTATCTTCCAATATGTTGCTGCTATTATTTTATTTCCTGTTTTTGTTGATTCACTTTTTAAATCCCTTTTGTTTTCATTATGAAAATTCTTTGTTTATGGCAATAAAATTGCTTTGCACATTGGCCAAAATTTTTGTTAAATGACATCATCAAGTAAATGGTGGCAAAACTGAGGATGAAAGGGTGGAGGTGTAAATGGATACATCCTGGAGAGCAGTGTTTCTCCAAAAGCTTAAAATGTTCATCCTTTTTGAACCAAAAGATCTACCTCTAGGAATTTATCCCAAATAAATGATTTAGCTTTAAGAACGTTTATTGGAGTGTTATTTGTAATTAAAAAAAAAATAGTCTGACAATTGGGGGCTGGTTAAATAAGCTATGTACTTTCAGAAATCACATGTGTAGTCATTAAAAATTGTTGTTGAACCAAGCTTCTCACACAGCATTACCCCAGAGAATACCCAATACGTCAGGGGTCCTCAAACTACGGCCCGAGGGCCACATGCAAATACAAATATTGTATTTGTTCTCGTTTTGTTTTTTTACTTCAAAATAAGATATGTGCAGTGTGCATAGGTATTTGTTCATAGTTTTTTTTTTAAACTATAGTCCGGCCCTCCAACAGTCTGAGGGACAGTGAACTGGCCCCCTGTTTAAAAAGTTTGAGGACCCCTGCAATACGTGGTCATTTGCCAAGGGATATGTGAAACCTTGGAACAAATTTACCTCATTTTCTCCCAGCACTAACTTTATTGGTGATGTGGGAGTGTGGAGTGACCGCTAAGTTTCAGCCCAAGGCCCTTTGTTCTTTTCTTCCTTGGTAACCCTACCCTGATCCCCCATCTGGATTTGTATCACGGATGTTGCCGCTTAGAATAAAAGATCACATTTCCCAATCTCTGTGGTAGGTAGGTGTGGCCTTAGGACTAAAAGCAAATTAATAAAATCTCAGTGGAAGTGTTGTGAGAGACTTCCAGGGGGGCTAACCTGATGGAGTTGAATGAGCCGAAATGAAGAAAAAGGGTGTACTTAAAATTTCTGCTCAGTTAAAAAAAAAAAAAATATATATATATATATATATATATATATATACACACACACACACACACACATATACACACGGTACACATTTAAAATTCTTATTAAAGTGACAATTTTAAAAGTTCAAATATCTAATTCCAACTTGAGGGGTGGAAGGGGAGGCGAAAAGAAGAGGATGTGGGAGGGCAGTTGATTTATTTCTATGAGCATCTTGATATGCAATGCTCATTTCCCTCTACCATTAAATCCAACTCGAAAAGGCTGACAAGGCTCGTACAAACTGCTTGTGAGGCTCCTGTTGGCGTTTTGCACAGTGCCGAAGTTTTCCGGATAAAACAAGAGCAGGTTTGGGGTTTGTTTCACTTCGTAGAGCCCAAGATGCCGGCCTTCCCCCTCCCAAATGTGCCTCGGATCTAACACGCAGGGTTTCAGAATTTAGGCTCTGTTACGTCGATTTCGGAGTGTGCCTTCTCTCTATGGCATCAGAAAACCTAACCCGAGTTTAGGACAGAGTTGGCCCCAATACCTCTTTAGAATTTGCCGCAGAAAAGCGGGGACCGCTGGGACAGGTGGGCGGAGAAAACGCTCGTCGGGCACCAATTCCATGAGTCGGGGCGGTGCGAGTCATGGCCCCGCCCCTCCGAGAAGCCAATAGCTCGGGACGGGAGCGGGAGGGGCGGGGCGAGCCCTGCAGGCGACGTCGTGATTGGCACGCCGGCTTCCGCAGCCCGCGAGGCAGCCCCTACTTCCCGTGTATCAGAACCCCTGGCGAGTGCGGAAGTACAAAGTTTGTCCGCTGCGGGGCACCGTAGTGGCTTTATCCAGGGCGGAGCGGGCTGAGCTGGGCTGGGCGCTGGAGCCCAGTTCAGCTTTGGAGACCCCGATGGCTGCGGTGTTTTTGGTAACGCTCTACGAGTACTCGCCGCTTTTCTACATCGCGGTGGTCTTTACCTGCTTCATCGTGACCACCGGCCTGGTATTGGGATGGTAAGGGCCCCAGAGCTAAGGGCAAGGGAAGGAGGGGCGGCCAGCCAGGGAGCCGGGTTGCGACGAGCGGCTGGGGGCATGGAAGCAGGGGGGCTGCGGCGCTGGAGCGCCTGGGGCTGTCGGGGAGCCTGTGCCGAGGGCTCCAAATGGCTCCGCGAGAAAAGCTAGGTAGACACTGCACCTGCATGACTGCCCCGCATTACCGCCCGGTCCCCGCCGCTGCGGGCATGCGGGGGTGGCGCCGGATTGAAGTATATCACCCAGCTTTGTTTCTGGGTAATAAAGCGTCCAGGAAGGGCCTGGTCTTGGATAGAGTACTTGTCCGCCAGCTTCTGCCCCAGATTGGAACCTCCTGTGTGCCCCGTGTCCAGTCCCCTGCGGCGCGGCGCGCGCGCACACACACACACACACACACACACACACACACACACGGACAGTAAACAAGGTTGATTGTTGTGCTTCTGAATTGAGCACTTGGCCTCGGGTAACTTGTAACAGAATTCCATTGTATCATGTTTAGAGAAGCCTCGCAGATAACAGCTAGTTGAGACGTTTTACTATATCCACTGGTGAGAAAGATATGAGTTAGAATCTATAACTGTTAGATTTTGAAGAATGAGTGTTTTGAAAAATAAGTGGAGTAAAATATGTATGGCAGAGAATAGAAGGCATTCCAGAGAATACAGCATGGGCTGAGGGGCAGAGGAGACATGTGTAACATGAGTGAGGATTAACAACAACAACAAAAAATACCCTTTGATCACAGTATATGTGCTTACTTTAAAGAAAGGACAGGAGCCCTTGTCATTTTCTGACAATGTGTGCTCTCTTTAGGATCTAAGCAGTTTTAACACTTTCACACTGCTCCCCAGTAGAGCATAAAACTCCTTGTGTGTGGTGGGGGAAGATTAAGACCAATTTTACACAATTTGTTATTCTGGGCCCGTCAGATTTTATTGCTATCGTTCTTAAAGAAAGTTTGTAATTGGAATTAGGAAGCTGTTGCCCAGTGAGAGAAGCAGTGTTAACACAGGATTTTAAAATAACCGCCGAAACCGGTTTGGCTCAGTGGATAGAGCGTCGGCCTGCGGACTGAGGGGTCCGAGGTTCGATTCCGGTCAAGGGCATGTACCTGGGTTGCGGGCACATCCCCAGTGGGAGATGTGCAGGAGGCGGCTGATCGAGGTTTCTGACTCTCTATCTCTCTCCCTTCCTCTCTGTAAAAAATCAATAAAATATATTTTAAAAAAATAAAAAATAAATAAAATAACTACAATGTTAGTGTTATTCTTTTAAAGAAATGCAATTTTTCTTCACTAAAGAAAATAGGTGACTAGTTGATAATTGCATTATATCTTTACATTTTAATTTTCAATGGCCAACTAATGAGATATTTTAGATATCTGTCTTTAGTAGTATTGCAGTGGTTCTCAACCTTCTGGCCCTTTAAATACAGTTCCTCATGTTGTGACCCAACCATAAAATTATTTTCTTTTTTTTTTTATTTTTTTCTTTTTTTTTTTTTTATTGATTAAGATATTACATATGTGTCCTTGTCCCCACGTTACCCTCTACCCCCCACCCCCGCTCATGCCCTCACCCCCCCGTTGTCCATGTCCATTGATTAGGCCTATATGCTTGCATATAAGTCCTTTGGTTGATCTTTCCCCCTTACCCCCACCCTCCCCTACCTTCCCTCCAAGTCCCGACAGTCCAATCAATGCCTCTCCGTCTCTGGATCAGTCCTTGTTCATCAGCTTATGTTGTTCATTATATTCCACAAATGAGTGAGATCCTGTGGTATTTATCCGCTCTCAAGTTCCATCCCTGCTGTGACAAGTGGTAAGAGTTCCTTTTTCTTCTTCCTCTTCTTAAAGAATACCTTTCAGCATTTCATATAATGCTGGTTTGGTGGTGATGAACTCCTTTAGCTTTTTCTTATCCGTGAAGCTCTTTATCTGACCTTCAATTCTGAATAATAGCTTTGCTGGATAAAGTAATCTTGGTTGCAGGTTCTTGCTATTCATCACTTTGAATATTTCTTGCCAGTCTCTTCTGGCCTGCATGGTTTCTGTTGAGAAATCAGCTGACAGTCGTATGGGTACTCCCTTGTAGGTAACTGACTGTCTTTCTCTTGCTGCTTTTAAGATTCTCTCTTTATCTTTTGCTCTTGGCATTTTAATTATGATGTGTCTTGGTGTGGTCCTCCTTGGATTCCTTTTGTTTGGGGTTCTCTGCGCTTCCTGGACTTGTAAGTCCATTTCTTTCACCAGGTAGGGGAAGTTTTCTGTCATTATTTCTTCAAAAAGGTTTTCAATATCTTGCCCTCTCTCTCCTGGTACCCCTATAATTCTGATGTTGGTACGCTTGAAGTTGTCCCAGAGGTTCCTTACACTATCTTCATATTTTTGGAATCTCTTTTCTTTTTTCTTTTTCGGTTGGGTATTTTTTGTTTCTTTGTATTTCAAATCTTTGACTTGATTCTTGGGATCCTCTTTTCTGCTGCTGGATCTCTGTAAATTATTCTTTATTTCAGTCAGTGTATGCTTAATTTCTAGTTGGTCCTTTTTCATGTCCTCCATGGTCTCCCTATACTTATTGAGGGATTCATTAAATTTATCGGCGGTTTCCATAAAATTCTTGAAAAACCTTATAACCGTGGCCTTAAACTCTATATCCAATCGTTTGCTTTCCTCCATTTCTGCCATTTGTGACCTGTTTCTTTGTCTCCGCATTTTGGCAGCTTCCCTGTGTTGATAGAGTGGCCCTGCGCGCCAGGTGTCCTGTAGGGCCCAGTAGCTCAGCCTCCCCAGTTACCTGGGGTGGACACTCTTGGTGCACTCTTGGTGCCTTGGTTGTTGTAGAATCACTGGGAGGAATTGACCTCCAGGCCAATTGGCTGTGAGAATCAGCTGTGTCTAAAGTGGGAGAACTTCTGTGCTGAAGACACCCTTCTGGGGCAAGACTTGCTTCAGTGGGGCTTTGGTGCTCACTGAGTCTGCTCCCTGAGTGCGTCCCTTATGGATCTGAGGAGTTTCAGTCTGGATGGACCCCCTCTGACCACTGGGTACAGTGGCTCCTGGATCTAAGGAGGTGCTAATTCAGCCTCTGCCTGAGGCCACACAGCAGGAGCCACGAAGAGGCTCAGCTGTGAAGCAATGCAAGCCGCTGCGGGGCCTTGGGCCTTCTCTTGGAAGTTCCAGGTCTGCCTGGTTCGGCTGCAGTTAGGTACATTCACATGCAAAAGCCTCTGCCGCAGCCTGGGTGGGGCGGGGTCTCAGGGAGTCAGAGGGTGGAGAAAGCGGCCATGGCCGATTCTCCGCCCGGAGTCGCGTGTCTCAGTGTTCCGGTAACGGCTGCAAGCACCTCTGAGGGAAAGCCGCCCTCAAGTTCGCTCGCTGCCGGATAGACCAGCCTCTCCCCGTATGAGTCCTGGGTCCCCAGAGACTTCCCGGAACCGGAGTTCAGAGCAGTCGGGAGTTTGTGACTCAAAAAGTCAGCCGCGTCCTCAGGTGCTACCCCCTTTCCTCGTTCGCGCGCGCCGCCGTACCTCTGCACTTCACCTCCGCAGCGCCTCTGGCTCTCAGCGTGCTTTTCTTTCCTTCTAGTTGTGGAATTTACACTCAGCCAGCCTTCCTGTTGTTCTGGATGATGTTTGCTCAGTCCTTAGCGGTAATTTTCAATTGTTGTGTGAGGCGATAATTTCCCGGTGTTTACCTATGCCGCCATCTTAGTTGCTCTCCCATAAAATTATTTTCGTTGCTACTTCATAACTGTAATGTTGCTACTGTTATGAATCGTAATGTAAATATCTGATATGCAGGATGGTCTTAGGCAACCCTGTGAAAGGGTCGTTCGACCACCAAAGGGGTCGCGACCCACAGGTTGAGAACCACTGTTAAGTATTGGGAAGAAGAAAATGAGTGAACATCTTATTGGTAATGATAGCAGCATCTGTGTGTGAAGGGTAGTCAGGAACCTCATGTTTGTAGTGGTTAAGAGACAGACTTTGGTATTAGACCTAGTTCAAATCCTGGCTCAGCCAAGTGTAAGATTTGGTTTGAAAACTTAATGATACTCTAGGTATGGTTTTTCAAAGGGAAGAAGCTAAGATAATTGTAGAACTTTTGGAATTCTGGGTGCAGGACTGCTAAGGCCAGAGACCCGGTTTGTGCTAGTAATTTTCATCCTGATTTGGGTCAAACCAGTCACTGATCTTGAGGCTAACCCAACTATTCTCTCCATCTGGGTTAGCTTTGTTCATCTAGATATATTTTTTACTAGCATTTATTTGCTAACCTAAGCCAAGGTCACAGATGCATTGAGTGGAAACAATGAAAACCATCTAGATTTCATTAAAACAACTTCCTAATAGTACCGCAGGCAGAAGGTAAACCCATTAATCCACTATGCTCTTCACCCTTGTCATTTTTTTTAACCTCTCATAATATAATCCCTAGTGGTCATCTGTCTTCTCGCACATGGTTTTTACCTCAGTACAGCTCTGAGTTTTCTTCCCATTGCTTCTTTCCACCATTCTCCTTGTCCAGCTGCACTGTGTGGGAGTGGAAAAAGAACAGGAACTTCTGATTATTGGACTCTCAATAGCAATAGTAAAGAATCATGCAACTAGAAGTATGGTGTTTCTATTTAACTACACGGTGGGTTCTGTGAACCCTAGTAGCCCACATTTATTAAACTCCTGCTATTTGCCATGCACGGTGCAGAAAAAACACACACAGTTTTTAACAGTTTCAAATAATCAGAAAGCCTAACTCTGTAACCTACTCCCTGCTTCTTCTTGACTATGGGTTATCAAGCTACTAGAGGCCCGGTGCATGAAATTCATGCACAGTAGGATCCCTAGGCCTGGCTGGCAATCAGGGCTGATTGGGGCCTTCCTTCCTTCATTCCACACCCTCCTCCCCCTGGTGGTCAGTCATAGCTAGCGGTCAAACTCCCAGTCAGTAGAACTCCCGAGGGGACAATTTGCATGTTAG